ACTCAGTAAGAAGTTTGTTAATACTCATAATTAAAATGCTGTAACAGTTTCAAATTTAAATGTATTATCGTTTTGTTAAAAGTTAAATATAGTTCATAATGTGGACATCCCGTCATTTTTTCACCATGTTTCTTTTTTATTATTTATGTACAGCCTTGCTAAATCTTTCTAAGCATTCAAAAGAGAGAATGTTTGTACCTGTTATCTATATTTGATGACAGCTGGGCATATACGTCATAATAACATTTGACGAATTAAAGTTTTCAGGTACCTAATCGTAAACATGATACCTTTATGTTTTTTTTATAGGGAGTAAAGATGCGATGCTCATTAACATACTCATTCAGAAATATCGCGAGATTTATTACAAGGTGATAGAGCCGTGCAAGGACGCATGCGCTGAATTCAAGAAAGTTATTCATTCAAATCAAGCCGCATGGAGAGGTGTACATTTCAACTTCTACGTACAGACGATAGAAGAACATCTAAATGAGAAAGGGGGCATGAACTATGACCTCATCCATTGTATCCACAGTACATATCATATTGCTAATTTGAAACAAAGTCTTGTTGAACTTTACCGGATGCTGGCAGACAGTGGGATGTTGTTCATTAGGGTGTCGTCAGGTAAGCTGAAATGACCGTTGGCATATTTGCCGACACATTGTAGTTTCTGTCAGTCAACAAAGAAGCATGACTGTATTGCATCTTGGGAGATGTGTCACTTCCTGTTACAAGTCCATTATTATTTACGATGACTTGTTATAGTCTATGATATATGACAAATTGTAGCAGTGAAATCGACATTGCGATATATTGTGGTACCAAATTATACAGGACGATAGTATCCTTGGAGCGGAGCTACGTCTCAAGACGTTCCACGTTGCTAAGACGCGAACAACTGTACCTCGTATTCATTGACGCTGCAGTTCGGCGTCTTCTACACTTGGACAGCGCTTCCGGTGACGACACAACGCCGCGTATTTCTACGAGCTCTGCGCGCGCTGCTGAGGAGCGCGGAACGCCGAGCGAAGAGCCGGTGAAAATTCGAGAAAACAACAGGAACTCAACTTTGAAGTAATCCTGAACAATCAATTTTATATGCGTTACACACGCGGGGTAATCTTACTACACTGTTCAGGGGAGTCTCAACAATCATCCCAAAGTACCGTTTTCTGAAAGTTTTCGGCCTTTGTTTTCACCGTAATGGTTGCCAGGCGGTGAAAATGCCCGGATGTCCGCCTCGAGAATACAGTAATGTGGTGTATGGTATATCACGAATATTTTGTGAAAGTAGATACCAATACTACTACTAACAACACGATGTCGCTTTTTCTCTTTGATGTAGGCAACTGGGAAAAATGTTACTTGAAGACTAGCGAATACTACCACGATCCTAAAACCAATTATAAAGGTGCGTCATTCGTCAAAGACTCGATCGTACAGAGTATACCACGTGTTACCATGACAACGCAATACAGAGAGATGCCAATAAACGTGACACAGTGTTTTCAAGAGGGGGGTTCCGAAAATGGCGATAAGATGACAGATTTTATTTTCCAGATTTTAAACTTCCGGAAAACTGTTCCCCAAGAACGACGCGATAGTTTGCTGCGATATTTCAGAGAACAATGCAGTGTGACAAAGAATGGCATGGTGGTCCTGTACGACGGGGAGGAAGACATTGCATTCTTTAAATGACCTACCTACCTCATTTGACAGAACACAATTTCTACATGGCCATGCTGTAATAGTCTCATTTTAACCGCACTGCCTTTATTGTGTTGAATGTACTGTTTTTTTTTTTCTGCCACGTTCTGTTTATACACAGCATTATTGCACCTGCGGCTGTTTCGCCAACAAATGATAGTGATCCGAATAATTACAATATTAGATAGATGTTATTAATATATATATTAATGTTATTAATATATATATCAATTTAGGCACTGCTTCATGTACACAAGTCAGTGTTCACAAATTAATAATTCGTTTATTAGGTTATAATTTCGTTCCCGTGACTCGCTACCCACACCATATTTACCTTTCACTCATATGTATATACTTATTTTACATATATAAGCGTGGATGATCTACCCATCTGTTATTAAATATAGTAACAACAAAATTTCCAAACATGCGAAGTAATATTTGTACTGTAATAAATGCAACATGTGCAGTATTCGCGCGGTATCCGCATTAGAAGCTTCCTGTCAACAGCCATACATCACTCAGTCAGCAGTTCCATGAATTCGGTTGCGATTGAATTTTCAGCAACTTAGGGTGCCACCAAGTGACCGAGTCGCGAGCGCGATTTTCAGCACAACGATCGAAGATGGACTTATGATCTTCTGTTGTTTCCTGTAAAGCCACTAGGTCCGTTCTCCTTGGAAGTTTCATAGGACGATTATTTTACTCATGTCACTACTGCGTCCGAACGAACTTCGAACATTACAAACTTCCAAGGTTTAAAGGAAACATCAATGCAAACAACATACTGACCCCTAAAGAAAAAGCTCCACAAATGTAGGAGAATGTAATTTACAGGTTTTTGTTATATCACTTTTCATTCTCTAGATATTCAACTTTTCAAGCAGAGAATTATGGGTAAAGTATGACATCATAAATTCTGTTGTCAGAAATTGAGAAAATGATTTCATCTATAACTTCAAAAGTTGAACTTCAAATTGAAAGTTTGGAAATTGGTAGCATACATGCACTGGTGCCATCCATGTTTATAAAATAGTTGTCATGGAACTGAACTGTCATGGAACGGAAAATATTTATTTTTATGTTTTTCTACCAAATGCTCAAATATCCTTATATTGTATACAATTTACCAATGTGAGTAGGTTATATATGTGATATATTACATGTTGACCACAAAAAGAGGACAAAAAAGTGTCATTCACGACTAAAATATCGATTTTTATTTTTTTAACGTTTTAGCAATATCTTCACTTAATGTGTATTTGTAATATTCATGTTATAGATAAAATAATTATCTTAATTTCTGACAACAGATTCTATGATGTCATACTTTACCCATAATCCTTTGCTTGAGAATCAAAATTAAAAGTGATATAAAAAAACTGTAAATTGCATTCTACATTTGTGGAGCTTTTTCTTTAGGGGTAATTATGTTGTTTGGATTGATGTTTCCTTTAAGTTGTGTCTAGTGTGCACTCAAAGCATAAACCGAACAGCAATGCATGACGGGATTTATTGTAGTGGAGGCAATACACAACTGAGTAAGTAAAAAGCGGCGCAATGCCTCAGCTATCGATCAGTAACTCGCGAACGCCGTAACGTTTAAATTTTGATTATCGAACAAGTTAGTGAAAATTGAAAGGGGTTTCAACTAAGTTTTGCCCACAATACAACTTCAAAAGAAAGTAAAATATCTGAAAAAAGTATCTTGGCATGCTGTAGATATAGCACGCGGTATGAGCTGTTGAATATTACCTTCAGAAAACTAATGATATGTCTTTACTATCTGTACTAAAATGTAATTTGGAATTTATTAATGTTGTTTTCATTGTGCCGGATAGCAGAAATTTGGTTGATGGATTTTTATTTTTTTAGTGTTTTACTTTGATTCGCGCTGTATGAACTCGATTTGCAGGAAATAATAACAACCACATCTTCCGATGTGTTATGGTTTTTGCAAATCCTTTGGTCAGTTGAAATGTTAAGTCTTTTATCGTGACCAAATTCATTTTCAATTATTTTGATTGACGGCAATGAACTATAATACTAGTTATGATGGAAACCGTATACTCGATTAGATTTCAAATTTGGAATCGTGGTCGCATTTGTATCATCGAAGCTAAGATTTGGAGGAAAAATGAATTAAGCTTGAGTTAGCGAAGGTCACGTGTGGGGGTATCATACGTTTGTTTTTATCTACCTGTGGTGATACTGAGTCCTGTTTAAATAATAAGGTAGTAATATGGAGGTAAACTATTAAGGAGGTCGGCAAGGGGTACTTTCGTAAGCTGTAATCTATTATTTTTATTTTCGTAATAATGTAATTTAAATAAATAAAAAATGTAAATTCGTAGACATGGGCAAGATGTAAAATGTAATCAGCTATTTTATTCGTTCGTAATTTGTACAAAGATCTTATTTTTTGTAAGCGTATAAAGCATTTTCCATATTAAATGTCGTAATTTGCAAGTAATTTCCAATTCTGATTCTCAAACACAAATGATCAAAAATAGGATAAAAATGTAAAATGTAATTAGGAATTTGCTTTATCTGTAAAGCGCAAAAACCAATATTTTACTGTAAATGATACTTTCATTTTATTTCCTGTAGCCTGTACCAGCTACCCCCTCCCCCTATTAACATGGCGTGCATGGCCTATTGAGTGAATTTGCACTTTTTTATAAAATATATATTATATTGTCCCTCCGTCTATGCTGATTTGAAATATGTATGCTTAGTACAATTAAACCACTCCCTTGTACCGAGTATTCCATAACACGATTTAATAAAAGTGTATTTCAGAAACTAAATGATTAAGCTGTATTTTTTTCCTCAGTTGGCAAATTAGACTGAAGGCTGAAATGCTTGTGGTATTTCATGTAAACGTCTTTGGCGTTTGGTGATTTGAAATAGTAAACGAACAAATTAGGCCTGAAGACTGTCGACAGTCTATTTGCGAATAAGTAGTCCCCACTATCATGCTCTTCATGCAATGGATCCCTGATGAACACGTTGATTTTCCGAGCTGTTATACAACATGTTAACTTTCCCCGGTTTTCTATGAATGCGGATGAGTCTGAGGACGAACTTATAAATTAGACTAAAAAAATTTAGAAATATTTCACTTTACATGTCTGACGAAACAGTAATGATAATCAGGGTTGTTCGCAGTTAGTTGCTAACAAAGATATGGGCATGCGCACGAGAGCTGAAACCGTATGTACACAGTACACGTTAAATCATTATAATGCAAATTCACTGCTAAGCAACAATAAAACATGCATCTTACTGTACACGGTGTGTCGTGGTGGGTTGTGGACGTAACACCACCGATGTTACCAGCAAGTTGACTGAAGTGCTCGCGATATTATCCAGCGCGGCACCATGGGGTGCGGTGCAAGTGGAACCGCCGTCAGTGCATTCGATCAAAACACCTTACATTGGAAAAAGGTATGACCTCTACGCTATGTGTATTTATACAGGAGCTGTCGTTCATTGTGTTCGTATAGATCCACTCATTTATGATTTTTGCTTCTGGTTTATTTTCGGTCAACAAATGAATGAATTGAATATAGTTTACGTTGACATACAGTAGTGACCATGGTAACAACTGTCACGCAAGGCAATACTGCAATTATGTCCGGGTCAATCTGCATAAACACGTGACCACGAGCCATTGACGTAGGTGAAAACGATTTGAGTTGAATCCCAATGCCATAACTGCACCCTCGCATTGTCAGACGATTTGACCCCCCCATCACACATACACACTAGTTGAAACACTCAGGAAAGGGGTCCAATCCTGGAGTGTTTTATACGAAAGTATCACTTTAAGCTTTCTTTGTCTAATTACGCCACGTATTACAGTCTGTCCCAAACAGAGAGTCGATATGTTCACATAAAAAAACAAACGAGTCGACATTTTCGTTATTGTGGTGACAACATATTTCGACATTGAGGGCGAACTCATTTTTGATTCATGATTGGATATCCTCCACAGGAAATGCAAAGTACTGTCGGGAACACTGGTTTACGACAAATTTCGAGTTAGATTGGCCGGCGAGAAGCGAAAACCCGAATATAATATAGTCCCTGGTAATTCTTTAATAACAATAATTAGGTCGTTAAAACTCAACACAAACAGTAAATCGTATGATGTTGGTTGCGTTATTGTAGTGTTTATTTCTTAATGTTTAGTCAGTTTCAACATAGACCCTCAGAGGGTCTATGGTTTCAAGGAACTGGTGCATTTGGGATCTCACGGGATATACGTACGATTTGGTGTTATGTCGTTTCATATTATACAATATAGGCTATATTTGGCATTATACCAGCACTGTATACATTATTTTACTAATGTCCAGAATTTTAAATATCAAATCAACTTGACTTAAATTAGGTCTTTCATCGTATCACTGATAGAATTCAGTATTCGAATATTTTGAGTCTGTAAGCTAGACAGAATCACGTGCCCTAGCAGACGAATCGGCTTTGGGTATGGTGGAGATATAAACCAGGATATGTATTGCATTGCTATAGGATCGTACAGCATGCAGTACTACATGGTGTGTATCCAGGCTATGAAAAACTACCACGCCCACTGAAAGGACATGACCAAGTCTACAACCAAACGACAATATTACAATACTTCACAGCGCAGAATACAAATAATTTTTACTTTCATAGGCGCATGGTTGCAGGCTGACTACACGAGAGAAAAAAGTCTTCGAAGTGTTGAAAGGCAATTTTAAGACGGACTATTCATCGGACATGAAAATAATTAGAATATTCACCAGCTCCACGTTTACAGGTATGTTTTTGTTCATTCGTTCATTAATAAAATACTTTAAATATTATGAATAATAAACAACACATTGAAATTAAAGCGCCGCACTCGTTGCATCGCGGCTGCGTTCGATATCAGTGACGTATATAAGGCGTGTAAAATACATTGGTTGCACGAAATTTAACTTAATGATTTCAGCCGAATACAAATTTTACACTACTGAGCATGTTACTGCACATATACGCAATGCATTATGGGGGAATGGACCATGGAAAATGTACTCATTATCATAGACACCAGTGTAAAAATGAAAATTTTGACTATTTTCCATAACATTCCTGGGTAGAAAAAATGTCCGGTTACCTGTTTATTTTTCATTTTCGGTATCCTCCATAATAAAGTATGTAAAACACGATCATATATATGATCTTTAATTCGGCTCTAATTAAACAGTAACACAGTAAGGTAGGATTCAAAGCAGTTTTGTCGTCGTCGCCATCTTTAATTTTTCCGTGCAAATAAACAAAATATTTTACACACTTGTATAGGTCACATGGCACCCGGGTCGAACACGATTCGGCACGATGACAAATGCGCTTTAAAATACATCGCGCTCGTGACTTAGGTAATATTTAGGGGCATTTGTTATAAAAAATACATTTACGTGAATGCGCATTTATTTTGTAAAGTAGTACCTTAATCTTTGTATTGTTTTTTTTTTTTTTTTGAGCTGTTGCGTGCACAATCAGTACAGCGTTTGTGTAGTGTGGACAAAACTACCATGCAATTTTAAATTAATTATTTTCATACGAATTTTCACTGCGAACAGTCTGCAAATAGTATAGAATGAGGGAGTCCTCATGTCTCATGCACTCGTAGTAGTTTTAGACGGGATTTTAAATTTCCGTGTCATTCATTATAATGTCTCTTTCATCAATCCAAGTTTTAACCGACTAGCGAGAATCATTACTCGTCAGAACAGATGACATTGTGTAAATTGTTGCATGTACGATATTACAATATATAGAATGATATCTTGCTAGATACGAAACACGAGCGCGACGCGTTGATGGAGAAAGCTTATCCTAAACTAAAGACATACTGCCAAAGCAGAGGATACGAATTCCAAGTAGTGGACATGAGGTGGGGTATCAGGGACGAGGCCGCTGATGATCACATGACCACAGAGCTATGCCTCAGAGAAATTGAAGCTTGTCAGAAGTTGTCAACAGGGCCAAACTTTGTAGTGAGTTTTTACTTCATTTTTATATTATACCGTTAATAAGATGCAATCTCATTTATATCGGGGAGACGGGTATACTGTATTATCTCATCATTTTCTTGTCCCTACTCTATGATATTTATATACGACTTTTCCGACTTACAGACTTTATTATCACACAAATACGGACAGCGCCCTCTATTGCGGACAATAGATGTGAACGAGTTTAACACCATCGTTGACGGAATCGCCGAGGAAGAAACTAAAAAGCTAGTTTTAAAGTAAGTATATATTGCACTCGTTTTTGGAAAAAAATATACCGTGTGATAAGTGGGTGTTCCGATTACGTTTGTAAAATAGTAACTGTAAGTTATGATGATTTTTGAAGGTGGTACTTAAAAGATGAGAATTATAAGCCCTCGATGTATGTTCTTCAGCCAATCAGCGTGGCCATACCTAATTTCACTAGCCCGGATGAAGAACTAAGAAAGATGGCAAAGGCCGAGTGGAAGGAGACACAGTCGAGGCTGCAAGTAGCGCTGACAGATTCAGCTAAAGTCAAACTCCGGGATGAAGAGGCTGTGTATAAATACATACGTTCAGGTAAAATTTCGACAACGAGTACACAATCAAACGGAATCGTATATTGCTTGCACCTACCAAGTCATCCATTGGCGATTACTCCGCATGTATCACCGACATTTCTCAAATCTGTCTTCCAGTTACGGCATCAGAAATAGAAAAGGGATTATTCGAGGTCAGTGACCCCGGTAGATCATGTCTTTGGTTTCACAGGATACTGAAACCGATTGACAGTGCGCCACCAGATTTCATCGATGTGAAACAGAGTTCAGATGAAGACGTCAGCAACTTGTTGGATACACTGAAAAAAGAAAGAATTCCTTCAGCGTTGCCACTGGAAAATATCACTTCATACACCGTACGGTGCTCGAACACAAATGGTGGGTAACACGCGTGGTACAGTCATGTGACATTTATATCTCAGAAATCTGGTCCTTAGATACTTCATTCAACGGGATTCACTCACGATACAGCCTGACATAAATAATCTCCGATGGCATATATCTCAGAGATTACACACACACACAATCAAAACAATCAATGCGCAGGCGTATTAGAAAATTGCATTGTTTCATATTGGCAACGAATATTGCGTCACGGTGCTGTACGTTTGTATTTCTAGACAAATCACATGTATTCATACAGTATCAAATAACAATATTCAAAATTACGCATTCTCAGTAAAAGGAATAAAATAGTATATTATGAAGCATGTTATATCTTGACCTTTGACGCCAACGTCTATTTTGTCACAAATATAGGGTTCGATCCGTCCATGCTGGAAAACAGTCAATATCTAGACCGACTTTGTACTGACTTCCAAAATAAACTACAACAGAAGGTAGAAGATGCAATAAAGGAGCGGGCGATGACAGACGTTAACGACGATGTTTTTGGCGAAGTTCTCCAGCATGCCAAATTTTGTGAAGAAAAATGTGAGATGTTTCATGGACAAACAGAAGCCCTGCACGTATGTGAGCTTTATGCTGAATTATTCATTTTAATGACTTTAATGAATTAGGTTTATAAAGGCATAA